GTATAATGCCTGGTAAAAAGGACTATGTAAGCATAAAGAGAAATGTCTACAAGCAAAAATGTTTGCATGTAGTTTTTTTATGTAATTTAAAGGAATTGTTTGTTGCCTTTAAGACCAAGAACCCATAAATAAAAATAGGATTTTCAAGGTTTTGCACCTTGCGACCTAAATGGTGTATTACTGTTGGTGCCTCAGGAACACATTCTGTATGCGTCTGTGCTATTCATCAGAATTTGAAAATGCTTTTACATCCTCTTGGTGTAACATACAAAGAATTGTTACCTTATATTGTCTGTGATATAACTAATAAAGACTGTATGATGAGGAAATGTAAAAAATGCCCAGCAACTATGAATGCATTTGTTGAAAAACTTTATGATATACTTGGAGAATTTGAAGATGATGATGAGATTGAATTTGATCAATGGACAACAACAGATAGGTCAAACTTGACACATAATAAAGAGCCAGTGTTTGAATACATTGAACTAGTATGTAGAAAACTGGAAAAACTTGCACCACATTCGTATTTAGCAAAGAGTCAAGCATCATACCTGAGATCAAGAAAGAAAGATATGAATGAGGTAACAGCATTATTTCTGGGTGATTTTTCAGAAAACTATAAATTTGTAATTCAGGATGAAGTGCAAAGCTTTCATTGGACAAATTTACAATGTACATTTCATCCAGTGATTATTTATTTCAAAAAAGAAGGCATTCTCAAGCACAAATCCTATTGTATTATTTTGGATCATATGATCCATGATGTGAACATTGTTTATAAGATTATTGAGGTTGTTTGCAATGATATAAAAACAAATTTGCCTCAAATAAAAAATATTGAATACTTTTCAGGTGGGTGTGCAGGTCAATATAAAAATTGCAAAAATATGTTAAATCTTTGTTTCCATTGTGAAGATTTTGGTTTTACTGCTAAATGGAACTTTTTTGCAACTAGTCACGGTAAGCAACCTTGTGATGGGATAGGTGGTACAGTCAAATGTCTGGCAACACTAACAAGTTTGCAAAGAGATATGGAACCATATTTTATCTCCACAAACAATGTATAAATATTGCAATCAAAACATTGAAGGCATAAATTTCATATATATTTCATCAGAAGATTTAACTTTGGTGAGAACCCCTCTTAAAGAACGATTGGATACTGCTAATACAATACTTGGAACACATAGTTACTATCAGTTTGTACCACTTGGCCATCAAAAGGTAAATTATTTTTTAATTATACCTTTTACCATATTTTAAAATACACGCATAATTTTTATTGATAAACTCAAATAGATATTAGATTTTTGCAGAATCATTATCAAAAATATTTGTATTTTTATTTCCTCTGCATTTGCTATCTATGCATTTAATAAAACATGTTTGATAAGTAAAACGGAATAATTGCATATGTTATTATTTTGTTTAGGTAGGCACTAAGCTATGCAGTGTTGATGAAGAATTTACTTTAATTCATGACTTTAGAAATATCCAGATAACAACTGTAAACCTAGTATCAAGTGATTATGCCAGTGTTTCCTATGAGCAAAAGTGGTGGGTAGGAGTCATTGAAGATATTAATTTAGAAGAAAAAGATGTGCTTGTAAAATTTATGTGTCCTAATGGTCCTGCACGGTCGTTTAAATAACCACCAAAGAAAAGCCAATGCTGGATTCCTGATGTCCACATTATTTGCAAAGTTGAGGTACCGATAACAAAAACAGGACTTTGCTACTATTTATTCAAAGAGGACTTGAAAAAAATTATTTTCCTATATTATAAATATAGTCTATTATGTCTATTATGTCTTATCCATTCTTTTTTTAAATATTATGTTTTGCGAACCAACTTGTAAATAATGTGAATGTAAAGTATATATAAAATCACTAAAGTTTAGTATTTTTAAAAAAAAAATTTATATACGTTTAAATTTTGTTGTAAATATCATATGAAAATGAAAAAGATAATAAAGTCACTAAATGTTTAGTTTCTAATTTGATTGATTGGTAAAAGGTGGGGTTATATTAAGTGTATAATTTAAAAAATATTAAAAAATTTTGTTTCTATATCAAATATCAATAATTCCTCAAGTAAATATAAGGCCAAAACAAAATTGGTTCGAAAAGTATGTGTTGATCTCATTTAGGGCTGCCGTTCTCCTCTTTTTTCCGTAGGAGAATGTGGCGCTAAACTAATTAAAATTAAAGTTTTCACTGCGCTCTCCTACGGAAAAAAGAGGAGAATGGCAACCCTAATCTTATTTTTAAGAAAATCGAAATTAATTTTTTTATATCAGTCAGATTTTTTTTATAGCTAAAGTCAATGCCCTTTTTTCTCGGCGTTATAAAGTGTATTTTATGGATCTTAAAATAAGCTACATTCCCTTGTTTTGACATATAAAAAATTATATTTTTCGGGTTTTAAACTCTTTTGGTACAAAGTTTCAGAATTGTGGCATCACTACAATCACCATATAAAGGTGAAAGTAAACGGAATGATTTCCGGCACTTTTCTTCCCTCAGGGTAATTCCATGTCAAAACAACAAGTCGAAATAACCCACCATCTCAGAAATACTTGGTTTTTGGCACAAATGCAGTTAATAATGTTGTTAGTAATAATCATAAATAATTTGGAGTCAATTTCATTTTTTTAAGAGTTATGGGTCTTTGAAGTTTAAGAATTTTAAAATTTTTTTATTCTCCGCTCTCTTAGCAACGTCTATAGCAACACTAAAATGTTAAAGTATACACAGTTACATTAACCATTCGTTTACAAAATTTAATAGGTATAGAAACTTTTGAATAAAGAAATCAAAAATCATTACTTAAAGTTATTAGATCTTATATTTGATTAAAAACTTTGCAATGCAAACCGGGTTTTTAACAATAATTTTTTAGTAAACATGTCTAGTTTAAGACTAATTGCAGAAAAGGTATTGATCTATTCACTTTAAATCTTTACAAAAATAGTTTATATATAAATGCCTGTAAGAGGCAAAAATTATTTCATTGTTTTTTGATGCACATATCTATTTTATTATTGTTTTATTTTTGCAATTTTATTTTTGCATTTTTATTTACCGTTTTGGTTATAACCTCCATTTAAAGATTATAACTAAAATAATTTCTCACAAAAAAAATAATGATTTCTCGCATAAGTGTTATACTTAAATGTTAGAACCAGTTGCTCCGTTTAATTAATTAAACAAGAAACCCAAAAATTCATTTTTATTTTAAACTAAATAAGTCTAATCATATGATTACACTTATTTAGTTTAAAATAAAAATGAATTTCTGCTTTCTTCTTGTATTAATTAAATGGAGCAATTGATTCTAACATTTGAATTTTGATTATAATACTCATGCGAGAATTTATTATTTATTTAATAATAGTTTTAGAAAAATAAAATAATAAAATTAAATATTTTTATAATGGATGGAACATCACAATGCTCAGTTGGATAGATTTTAAAATCAAATTGTCACAAGTTAACATTTACAAACCACATTGGAATAAACTTTTTTTAAGATTTAGCTCCAGATGAGCAAAATTTAGTTGAGCTAAGGTCTGGTGTTTCTTCTGTTTTGATTATTGACTTATGTTTTCATCATCAAAAGTTCTATCTTGAGAAGTTCCCTGTGTTTCAGAATAAATGCTGTGATCCACTGTTAGTTCACAAAAGACCGTGCAAAGGTTAGTAAAGCTTGTCATAAATTTTATAATAGTAAATTTGTCATAATTTTAAGTTCTTTATTTTTGTTAATAGTAGGCACATTTTACTTTATTAAGTTATATTTTTTAATTTAGCATCTCTCAGAGAAGTCACGTTAAGAACCATAGTTTTAAACAACAGGATCAATATTGTACCTGGTCAAAAAATTTGCACAAATTGCTTAGTCAGATTAAAAGCTTCCACTGAAATTAATACTGATAACATTAATATTGCTGATGATTACACAAATGAAAGTATAAATAAAGAAAACATATTTAGTGTTCAACAAGAAGCTGATATAAATAAAAACAGACAAGAACTTTCTGATTGTCTCAGTATAATTGGTGTGTCACCAGTCAAGCTTCACGGAAAGCCATTTGCAAATCGTATGAGTATTGGGAAAAAAAAAATTAAAACTATTGCAAAAGTTTTCAAAGAAAAGTTATCAAGTTATTTAAAAATTCCATTGACAGAAGTTGAAGTTTTTGATAATGAATATGTTCTTGATTTAAAAAAAAAAGTTGTTTAGTTCGAAAAAATGTTAGTTTTGATCAAAGATAAACTTGAAAAATGCAGTTCATTTAGGGACAAAATTCAAGTATTGACTTTGTGCCCATAAGAATGGTCAATTAAAGCAGCTAGTGAGTATTTTAGTGTTTCAAATTATCTAATAATAAAATCTAGATCTTTAGCAAAGAAGGAAGGAGTTCTTGCAGTTCCACAAACTAAGCGAGGTAAAATGCTCCCTGATCAATTAAATACTTTAGTGAAAATTTTTTATGAAAATGATGAAAACTCTCGCCAGATGCCTGGTCAAAAGGATTTTGTAAGTGTTAGTTGGAAAGTCCATATGCAAAAGCGACTACTTTTGTCAAGCTTAAAAGAGTTATTTGTCTCATTTAAAATTCTATATCCACATGTAAAGTTAGGTTTTTCCAAGTTTTGTGTTTTAAGACCTAAATGGTGTGTTTTGCCAAACTCATCAGGAACCCATTCTGTGTGCATTTGTATCTACCATCAAAACATGAAGTTAATTCTCCTACCCATTAAAATTGATTACCACGAACTATATAAATTTATTGTTTGTGATATGCAAAACAAAGAATGCATGTTACATCGATGTACACAATGTCCGAAAAATACATCTAAATTAGAAGAAAAGCTATTCAAACTAATAGGGCAGTTTGAGGAAGAAGATAGTATCGAATTTAACCAATGGGTTACTACTGATAGATCAGATTTAGTTATACAGCTTGTAACCATACCAGATTATGTAAATATGGTGATGGAAAAACGCATTCATATATTTCTAAATGCCAATCCAAATATTTAAAAAATCTTAAAGAAGAACTGCCATCAGGTAGCGCAATAATTCTAGGAGATTTTGCAGAAAACTATAGTTTTGTTGTGCAGGATGAAGTACAAAGTTTCCATTGGAATAATCTTCAATGCACACTTCATCCAGTGGTTGTGTACTATAAAGAAAATCAAGTGTTGCATTTCACTTCATATTGCATTATATCAGATGATAACACTCATGATGTACCAATGGTTTACGAGGTACAAAAATCAATTATCAATAATCTGAAGCAAAAAATACCCAGCATTGTAAACGTGGTTTACTTTTCTGATGGCTGTTCATCTCAATATAAAAACTGCAAAAATATATTTAACCTATGTCAGCATAAATCAGACTTTGGAATAGATGCACAATGGGTTTTCTTTGCAACCAGCCATGGAAAGCAACCTTGTGATGGTATAGGAGGAACAGTTAAACGGCTTGTAGCTAATGTTAGTTTGCAGAGAATTTCTACAAATCAAATATTAAACTCACGTGATATGTTTACATATTGCACTAACAACATCAAAGGTATAAACTTTATTTTTATTTCAAGTGAAAGTTTGATAGAAACAAGATTATTACAATCTGAACGATTTAAAAATGTAAAAACAATACCAGGAACAAGAGACTTTCATGAATTTGTTCCTGTATGTCATAATGAAGTTAAGATGAAATACTGCAGTGATGACACTATCCCTATCTTGACCTACAAGTTTAAAAATTGCGAGATGCAAAGTGATGTGCAAAGTTGACATGGAATTTTAGTTTATGCACCAACATGGCCTTGAATCTTAAAGACATTTTCTTGCTTCCTTTTATCAATTATTACTTCGAATCGACAGTTTGCTTATGTCTATGATATGTATATGACAATATTTTGCATTTATTAAAAAATATTACCTAATTTTGTTTTGTTTTACAGTCCAAAGAAAAACAAAGGAATATTTGAAGTTCAATAATTTGTATAAAAATTTATCAATTCATAAAAGCACAAACAATTCAAAGAGTTAATGCGTTTTGATATTTAAAGTTTATTTATGGACATGTCATGGATATTGCAGTTTTATACCTAAGTGAAAATACCTCTTATTTTTTGACTAGCTTTGAGTAAAAACACCTGTTTTTAGTATTTAAATATTTTTAATTGAGTTTATTAAATATGCATATTGTAGTTTTACACATAAGTAAGAATTCTTACTTTCTGGTTGTGCCTAAACATAAGTACCAATCAATCTTCTGTCTCAATCTCAATATACTTTCAATCAAAAATAAAAATTAAATTGTTTAGATTAGTAAGTCAAAAAACAGCTCAGTTTTTTTTTTTTTTTTTAGATGTTTATATATACTTTAAGATTATGAAGTTTGGAAATATATAGATCATAACCTTTTCTGTAATTCTTTTTATAGTAAACATGTTTACTTTTCAATTTTATTAAAAACGCCGATTTACTCTTATTGACTTATTAATAAATAAATAAAAATATTATTTCTTGGTATAATTTTATAGTTTAGCATCTAATAATATGTGGAAAATTTCAAATTATAAAACAATATATTTAAGTTAACAACGTATGTATTAGCATTTACTTGTTACTAAGGACGTTGCTAGGGGAGCATCATGAGTAAAAATGTTACTAAGTTTTAAATTTTAAACGAGCATAACTTCTAAAATATTCCGATTTGTTTAAAACAACTTTGGGGAATTCTTTTTAGCCTAGTTAAGTATCTTTGTTGCAAAAATTAAGTCATTTAGAGATAGTGGGTTATTTTTTTGAATTTTTGTTGTTGTTTTGACACGGAATTACCCCTCAGTAAAAATCAAGGAAACTTCAAATTGCTGTAAATTATAAACGGTAAGGAATTTTATGAAAAAAATTACAGTCTTTCCTAACATATGTCTATAAACATTTGTGCCAAGTTTCAATAATTTTGGTGATATAGGGTGCAGATTTGTGTTTTTTTGTGTTTTTTGAAAATTTTTTTACCCAAGTACCTTATTTTTCAGTTGTTTTTCTAATTTCATACTTATTTGGTGAACACGTAATTAGCTTGACTTTAAATAAACAAAGTTTTAGCGTAAAGGCTGTAATTTCGGATTTACGCGTATCGTTTTAAACGAATATTGAAATCGTTAAAAAGTTAAAAATTATTAATAAGGTCCTCGAGTGGTCATAGGAATTATTGATAAACAAAATAGTTTTTAGAATTATTCATATTTATTTTCCTTTTTTTTTCAAAATAGTTACCTATAATACTGTTTTTTTTATTCATTAAGTTGTATTTTTAAAATTATATCTAGTTTTTTTTTATTAGTAAAAATCATTAATAAATTTAATCAAATGTCTTCACGAGGTCAATTCGAAACAGAAAAACTCCATCATAAACTTGAGGCTCAACTAGATCGACTTGTTAATCAACTTAGTGATTTGGAAGAGTGCA